TAGGATTTGTCACTCCAATTATCGGAGAGGTATCTCTGGGCCCTCTCGGTAATGCACATCACTTAAGCCTTGCAAGCATTGCAGCTAATGAGTTAGTTGCGAGATGATGTATTACGGAACGAGTAAAGAGACTTGCCGGTAACGAGATTGAACTAGGTATTGGATACCGACGATCGAATCTCGGCCAAGTAACATACCGATGACAAAGCGAACAACGTATGTTGTTATGCGGTCTGACCGATAAAGATCTTCGTAGAATATGTAGGAGCCAATATGAGCATCCAGGTTCCGCTATTGGTTATTGACCGGAGACGTGTCTCGGTCATGTCTACATTGTTCTCGAACCCGTAGGGTCCGCACGCTTAAGGTTTCGATGACAGTTATATTATGAGTTTATGAGTTTTTATGTACCGAAGGAGTTCGGAGTCCCGGATGAGATCGGGGCCATGACGAGGAGTCTCGAAATGGTCGAGACGTAAAGATCGATATATTGGACGACTATATTCGGACTTCAGAAAGGTTCTGAGTGATTCGGGTATTTTTCGGAGTACCGGGGAGTTACGGGAATTCGCCGGGAGAAGTATTGGGCCTTATTGGGCCATACGGGAAAGAGAGAGGGGCTGCCTAGGGCAGGCCACGCGCCCCCCCAAGGCCTAGTCCGAATTGGACTAGGGGGAGGGGCTGCGCCCCCTCCTTCCTTCCCTTCTCCCTTCCTCTTCCTTGTCTCCTACTCCTACTACATGGAGGGACTCCTAGTTGGACTAGGAAAGGGGGAATCCTACTCCCGGTGGGAGTAGGACTCCCCTAGGGCACGCCATAGAGAGGGCCGGCCCTCCCCTCCTCCACTCCTTTATATACGGGGCAGGGGGCACCCCATAGACACACAAGTTGATCTTCGTGATCGTTCCTTAGCCGTGTGCGGTGCCCCCCTCCACGATATTACACCTCGGTCATATTGTAGTGGTGCTTAGGCGAAGCCCTGCGACAGTAGAACATCAAGATCGTCACCACGCCGTCGTGCTGACGGAACTCCTCCCCGAAGCTTTGCTGGATCGGAGCCCGGGGAGCGTCATCGAGCTAAACGTGTGCAGAACTCGGAGGTGCCGTCCGTTCGGTGCTTGGGTCGGTCGGATCGGGAAGACGTATGACTAATTCCTCTACGTTGTGTCAACGCTTCCGCTTCGGTCTACGAGGGTACGTAGACAACACTCTCTCCTCTCGTTGCTATGCATCACCATGATCTTGCGTGTGCGTAGGAATTTTTTTTTGAAATTACTACGTTACCCAACATGAGGCCCGTGTATCCCTTCTCCCCCTAGACTATATAAACTCCCCTTCATCATATGTTCTAGGGTTAGCATTGGTTTAGCTCATTTGAGAGACAGAGCATTGCTCATCCACATCGGATCTACTCATCGAGAGAGACCGCGGCCTCTACAGAGAAGATCCCTTTGGATTCAAGACCTCCTTGCGGAGAAGACATCAAGACCCCCTCTTGGGCGGCCCCCTCAAGACCTCCTCACGGAGAAGATCGTACTACTTGTACCGTCCTTAGTTGTCCGTGGACCGTGTATCATTCTATGTATCCGAGGATCTAACACGTGTGTGACTTGTTCTTGTTAGTTTGAGTGTTCCTCTTCGTTTTCCCTTGTGTTTCCCTCGTTTTCTCCTTTGTGTTCTTCGTGTTCTTCGCGGGATTCCGCTCTTTTCGTGAAAGATCGGGCGATTAGGGTTCTACCCTACATCATCTTGGTATCTAGAGCCACGTTAACTGTACCAAAAATGGGGAAACCCAGAAATTGATCCCTGGTAATCCTAAAAAATATAGCATCCATCCCTAGTCTCCAGAATATTGCGCAAAGTAGCTGGACGCGCCCTTCTTGAGGCCTGAAGAGCTACTTTTCCATTGATTTTCCCGGTTTTTCTATGTTTTTCCTTTTCTTTCTCTATTTTCTTCTGTGTTATTCGGTTTTTCTTCCTTTTTGCTTTTTTGTTATTTTTCTTTTTTCTTAAACATTTATTTTTTTCATTCTTTTTTCATTTGTTTCTACGGTTTTAAATGCTTTTTGTTGTCTTTTGTTTCTTTTCATTTTTATTCTCCAATTTTTGTTTTATTTTCATTTTTTATTCCTTTTACATTTGTTTCTTCGGTTTTATTTTTCATTTCCGGGTTAAATTTTTTCTTTTTATTTTTTCATTTTTTGGTTTTCTTTGTTTCTTTTGTTTTTATTCTACATTTTTTGTATATGTCAACAACATTTTTCTAATAAACCTTTAATTTTTTATCAATATGACTTCAACATTTTTCTATATATGGTTAACATTGTTTCTATGCACATTTTTAAATATTTTTCATATGATAAATCATCATTTTTGAAATACAAAGATTAATTTTTTTCTATGCACATTTAACCTTTTTCAAATGTTTGACTAATATTTTCTAAATGCAATAATAACATTTATTGAACACATGGCCAAAAACATTTCTATGTACATTTAACATTTTCTAAATGCTCAATTAACTTCTTCTATACACATTATCAAAATGTATCATCATTTTTTTAATACATGGTCAACAGTTTTTTTAATACAAATTTAACATTTTTGAAATGCTTGATCAAAAAAATTCAAATGCTTTTTCAACATTTTTACTTACATGATAGAAAACTTATCATTTATTTAATACATGGTCAACATTCTTTCTATACAAATTTAACATTTTTGAAATGCTTTTTCAAAAAATTTCAAATGCGTTTTCAGTATTTTTATTTACATGATTAAAAATTCAAAATTTCTTTAATACATGGTCAACATTGTTTCTATGCACATTTAAATTTTTTGAAATGCTTGATTAACATGTTAAACTACATGTTCAACCTTTTTTCAAATGGTTGATTAACATTTTATGTACATGACCAAAAAATTCATCAATTTTTAATACATGCTCAATATTTTTTTCTATACACATTAAACATTTCTCAAGTGCTTCACTAACATTTTCAAATAATTTTTCAACATTTTTTAAATGCTAGATTAACATTCTTTGAATAGATGATCAATTTTTTGTACTCCATTTTTGTATACGTGATAAACATTTTCTCTACACACATTTTAATTTTTCCAAATGCCTGGTCAGATGTTTTTATTGTCTATAGATTGTTTTCTCTAAAGTATACAAATAAAGCCAAAAAGAAAAACACAAAAAAAAAGGGCTGGAGCTTCCCCGACATGAGGCTGCCCTCGTCTCGATTACAGCGAGACATAGGGGCGCCCTGGTTTTTTTCTCTATCTTTTGTTTCTTGTGCTGCTTGTAAAGGTTTTTGATTAGTTATCTTTGTTTTTCTGTTTGTTCTTATTTTTTCACCATTTTTGTCCTTTTAAAAAGTAAAATAAATGTTTCTCCTTTTGTTTCACTAGTTTCCCTTTTTTCTCATTATTCCTTTTCCAGTTTCAAATTCGTGAATATTTTTGGTGAACATATTTTCAATTTTTCAAAAAAATCAGACACAATTCGAGTCCGCGAACTTTTTTAAAATTCATGGACGTTTAATGATTGCTGGAACATTTATTAAAGTTCGCGAACATTTTGTTTTTGCGAATAATTTTATAAATTGCAAACAAACTTTGATTCCGTGAATAGTTTTTTTAATTGAAAATATTTTTAAATTGTCGAACAATTTTGGATTTTGTAATATTTTTGGTATTCATGATTATTTTTGGAATCCCTAAGCATTTCTTGACATTCATGAACATTTTTAAATCGGGCGCCTTCTCCAAATTTGATAAATTTTGTTCTGGAATTTGTGAATATTTTTCAATTTTATTGAATTCACTAGCATTATACTGAATCCACAAAATATTTTGATTTTTTATATTTCTTTGAAATCATCAATACTTTTTGAATTCGCAAATAATTTTGGAAGTCATGAACATTTTTTGAATTCTTGAATTGTTTCTGTATTCGTAACTAGTTTCCAAAAGTATTCCTGAACATTATTTGAACATTTGTAAATTTGGGTAACACAATAAAAATAAAAGAAATTGCCAAACAAAAACCTGAAGTAAATATTTCCGCAGTGCTATACGTACACTAGGGCTATATCTCAGTCTCTTTTTTGAGACAAGGCTATATCTCAGTTATTCCGAGATATATAACCCGGCCTCACCTCTGGGGATGGGCCAATACTGTAGCTCGTCTGAGCTGATTCCGCATGTTTTCTTTCTTTCTTTTTTTCTTTGTGCTGTTTGTAAATGTTTTTCACTGGTTTTCTTTGTTTTCTATATCACCGATTTTTTGGTTTCATTTGTTTTCCTTTTTTTTAACTCATGTCTACTTTTCCAATACGCAATTTACATTTTTACTACATGTTGAATATTGTTTTTCAAATATATGACATGTATCTTTTAAATACATACTTTTAACATTTTTCGAATACATGTAAAATATTTTTCAAATGCACGTTCAATATGTTTTTAATGGCGTGAAACATTTTCTTCAAATGTGTTAACATTTTTTACATTGTATAAATATTTTACAAAAAAATTCACGGACATTCTTTGAAACAAAAATTTATTGACAATACCACGTAGATTCTTTTGGATGGTATGAAACATGTTTATACTACACGAACATTTGTTTTCACTTTGTTGTATAAACATTTGTTTCCCCCGCAAAAAAAAAGGTATAAACATTTGTTTCCTACAAACGCTGGCACAGGGTCAAAGGCTTGTCCATTCGCGAAAGTGGAACGGGCTTGGGCTGGCCTGGGTCTACCGCCCTCTGCCTCTCCGTCACATGGTCAACGCTGGCCCTCTGCCTCTCCGTCACATCCTCTCTCCAGAATTTCTCAAAAAAAAAACATCCTCTCTCCAGAAGAAAAAAAAAACACGTTCCCCAATTATCCTTCTATCCAGAAGAAAAAAAAGCACGTTCCCAAATCCTGAAATCCCCCACACTCACAGCAACGACCCCAACCCCTCGTGCGCGCCAACCGCCGGCCATGGAGGACGCGGCGGCGGCGGCGGCAGCCGTCCC